CCACCTTGGGATGGGGTGGAGGGATCATTTAATGAGAAAAGAAGACCCAGGCAGAATCCCTCAAACATTAAAGAAGGAATTTGCATTTTGAAGTGATAGGCAGGGCAGAAGCTCAGAGCTGGAATGTCCGGAAGCACTACTTTGCAGGTCTATGTTATGCCTCCCTGGAGTGTGATGCACAGGCACAAATGTGCCTGACAACCAGGAATGTGCCGGTTACTTATGCTAATTCTGGGCAAGCTCCGGAGCTCACTGCCCCAGAGAAGCTCTGAACAAACACGGTTGGTTGCCTCTCATAAAGCACAGCTGTGTAAAATAACCTGCAGAACCTGAGGAAAGTTTGAGGAACTAAAAGGAAACAACTTTATGTTTTCCAATTTGTACTTTGCAAATAGCGCTTTTGTATCAAAAAAAAAAAGGCACTAAGTGAATTTTAAATAATGCTAGTAAAGTGAAACCTGGGTTTCTCTCTAAATATCAATCTACTTTTTTTCTATTATAGAAAAATGTTTAAGGCAGAATATCTAATAAATGGTCAAAGAATCAGACAAGTCAGAGCCACTACCTCACATTAGAAGGGGTATTTGGAATTTGGACTTAGTGAAAGTTATAAATACATACTGATGTTGCAAAAAAAATGGGAGCAGGGAAATTTAAAGAAAAACTGCATAGGCTAGCAAGACTTCATTGAAGACTATTGCATTAGGAAATCAAGACCATTGCAGCCACGGAGGGATACTGAACTGTGTTGAAATCAAAGGCAGGAGATAGCATCAGACTAACTTGGTCAGAAGGCAGAACTGGGTTTGAGGAGGATTTGGAGGTATATTCCCCTCCCAGAGGAAGGGCACCATCATGGGGAAATGGGAACTCAAGACTTGCAGTACCCTATTCTGTTATGCTGGGAAAGAAGAAAGCAGCTTTTGTCTCTGTCTGTGCCTGGGCTCTTTGGAAATTGGTATGCTGGTGAAGGTTTAACACATTTTTTCTTCAGGAGGCAACAGAATGTTATTGTGAAGCATTTGTTAAATGCTCCCACTATGGCTGACTCCCAGCCAGTTATGTGATGACACTGAAATGTTAATTTGGGAAGAAACACAATCAAGTCTTTGGAAGTGGAGCCAGCCAGCTCAAGTAGACCACCACAGCCTTGTAGCCAAGCAGGCTGGCAAGGAGAGAGTGTCACGGACATCCGGAAATAGTAACAAAATACCCTCCTGATCCAACTTTTAATTAATGAGACTTTAGATAGATGCACAAAGTTTGGGATATGAACAGCTTAAGAATTATGACACAGGGTGTGAGGGTGGCTCACTCGGTTAAGCGTCTGACATCGACTCAGGTCATGATCTCGCGGATCCTGAATTGGGGTCCCACATCGGGCTCTCTCTCAGCACAGACCCTGATTTGGATCCTGCCTCCCTCTCTCTCTCTGCCCCTCCCCCACCTGGCACATGCTCTCTGTCTCTCTCTCTCTCTCTCAAAAATAAACACTTTTAAAAAATGAAAAAAAATATTATAACACAAACTTACTAACTTATAATACCTTATCACTTACAGTTGACTTAATTCCCATTACTGAATTCAGATGATGAAACCAAAGGTCTCAGCTTCACATAACTAGTCAATGGCCATGCTGAGAATGGACCAGAGGACTGCTTCCTCAACCCTCTCTTTTGCACAACCTCAACTCTGAACAACATTCACAAATCCTTTTCTCAAGATCCACATCCTCAAAAATATCCTTTACCATCTTACCTAAGAGCCCACAATTCTTACAGGGTGATCCCTCCTTTAGAGGTAAACACAATTCAGGATATTGAAGATAAAATGAAAATTTGTCTGTGAGGGACATCACCCTTCCATCACCATCCCTGCCACATTAGTGAGAGATGTTCTGATATGACTTCATGGGACAAGAAAGGAGTCTTTTTTTTTTCTTGAAAAGAGAAACATAAAGGGGATTTCAATAGTGATGCCCTATGTGACAGGTGGGAAAGCAAATCTAAGTGTAAAGGGGGAAGAGTGGCAAAAGTAAAGGACCTCCTAGCAGTAAGCATCTGACTGATTCATCTAGCCATTCCATCAGCCTGTGACTGCACTCATGGCAGGTGCTGGGTACTAGTTTGAAGAAAGGAGAGAGAATTGGAAGGAAAAATGAATGGCAGGAAGGGTAGAAAGACAGATGGACAAAAGAGAAGGAGAACGTAGAAGAGGGTTCAAGGGCCCCTGGTGGGTTGCACTCTTAAAAATAAGAAGAATGGGGCATGTGGGTGGTTCAGTCAGTTAAGCATTCCACTTCGACTCAGGTCATGATCTCACAGCTTGTGAGTTCAAGCCCCGCGTTGGGCTCCGTGCTGACAGCTCAGAGACTGAAAGCCAGCTTCAGATTCTATGTTTCCCTCTCTCTCTGCCTCTTCCCCACTCATGCTCTCTCTCTCCTTCAAAAAAATAAATATTTTTTAAAAATACAGAAAATGTCTGAAAACGGAGCTCTTTTAGAGCTGGGAAATATGGCCTTACTTTGACATTTACTTAAGTGCTGGCTTCTGCAGGCCCCTAACGTGAAATGAGTTTTATCTGTAACCTTCACTGTGCCCATCTTGCCACAACATAGAATTCTCCTGGTCACAAAGGGGATTCTACTGCCCAGTCTTTGTATTTTTACATTTAACAATAATTACAATGAAACCAACAAACTATGTACTTACTTAGATTCTGAAATTGCATGGACAGGATATGTAACTTCTATGAAAAATAATGGTGATTGTTTTATTCAACGTACATGGCAATAAGGAGTGAAATAAAAGGGCTAGAAAATGCTCCCTTTTCATTCAACTAGGTAAATGGACTCTCCACTTGGAAGATGATGTGCTCTTTGGAAGAAATGTTATAGATTAACAGTAGCTTTTGGGATGCAACAACTGATAAAGGCTTCTTCTGTTTTCTTTATAAAGTACTACTCCATGAAGGAGGTTATCATCTCCCTACAAGGTTCTTTTCCGGACTGGTTTATTTTTTTTCCATCTGTGTAATTTTCATTTGTTATTCACACAGTAATGCTCTCTGAAGTAGAGGAGACAAGATTGTTAATGAATTTTTAATTGTCATAGTTTTACTTTAAACTTAGTCACTACCAAGGAATAAACATTACTGTATTCTCCAGGAGAGACCGTAAGGCCTTCCAAATTCTCTGTACCCCTGCACGCTATTAATTGCTAAGTTTTCCACTACCCTCAATAAACAAATTGTGCTCTATTACCACCACCATGGTAAGGATCAGCTGCTCCTAGAGCTGGGAAAACTGACTTTCATAAGCAAAAGCTGATTTTTATTGTATGAGGTGCAAGATGTCATTTGTTCCTTAGCTTAAAATTAGTGAAAAGTCTTTTTCATGTGTTTTTCCCCTCTCTTTATCTCTCCCTATCTGTCTGAAGAAAAATGTTTATTGTCGGTAGGTGCTAAGTGCCTCAGAAAAACAGAATCCCTTGCCAGAACGGGCTTCTGCTGGATAAAGAGAGATGATGGACTAAAGTCATTTTGCAGAAGTGAGGTTTCCAAAATAAACCAGAGGAAGATATCTGAGATCTACTGAATGAGCTGCTGTGAAGATAAGGCCACACTCTTGTGCCCTCAAATAATGAGACCTGGGAGAAGCAGTCAGGGGCAACAGGATTTAATGAACTCAATCAGCTCCTACTTTAGAAGGCTCAAATGCACAGAAAGGGCACGAAAATGGATTTGTTGTATTAAAATTTAACTTAATAAATGTTGGGAGCTTTTGCTGCTTACAGAGACAAACTTGTTTCAACGTTCATGTGCATGAGAGGTGATAATCAGAACAGCACTCATCCATCAGGAAGGACATAAGTGACAACAGCAATTCAGGATCCTCCAGGTGTTTGGCCATACCAGGCTTAACCCTTTAGGTGCTGAATCATGGAGACTACCAGGAGCATGCCTGGTAGAAAACGTTAATGAGTGAGGCGCCTGGGTGGCTCAGGCTGTTAAGCATCCGAGACTTCAACTCAGGTCATGATCTCGCAGGCCGTAATTTGGAGCCCTGCACTGGGCTCTGTGTTGACAGCTCAGAGCCTGGAGCCTGCTTCAGATTCTGTGTCTCCCTCTCTCTCTGCCCCTCCCCTGCTCATGCTCAGGGGTGTGTGCACTCTCTTTCTCTCTCAAAAATAAATATTAAATTTTTTTTTTTAAAAAAAGAAGAAGTTAATGAGTATCTACCAATTTCAGAATTTTATTATCAGTGCCTTCTAAGTGAACCTAAGTCCTGGACCATATTTAATTCTGTGCACACTTGGTCTAACAGATACTCTTCAGGTTTTGCCCGATGCCTGTTCCTTCCTATTCTCCTAATCCTGATACATTTTCAACCAGGCAATATTTCATCCTGCCATTCAAACACAATTTGTAAAATTTATTTTTAAAGTTTTTTTTTCTAATTATTTTGAAAGGGAGAGAAAGCACGAGTGTGGAACGGGCAGAGAGAGAGAGAGGAAGAGAGAGAGAATCCCAAGCAGGCTCCACCAGTGCAGAGCCTGATGCAGAGCTCGAACTCATAAACTCAGAGATCACGACCTGAGCCGAAATCAAGAGTCAGATGGTTAACCAACTGAGAAACCCAGTTTTCAAATTTTCCTCCCAGTTTTCACATCAGTCCATTCTACTTTCTTCAAATGGCAATTATTAAGCTCATAGGAAATGTGTCATCATTTAACTCATGAAACAAAAATTTACTGTCTTACCCAGAAATATATGTAATAGTCACAAAAAAAATCAACATCTGAATATAATACCCCCTTCTCTTCCTACCATCAACTTCATCTTAACTCATAGAAGATTTTGCTGTTTCCCCCTCATCTGCTTAATATGCAAATAAAACAATAGGGGTAGTACTGGCGGACAGGGAAGAGAACCAAAATGTGCGTAGTTATGTGGGTCGTAATTCCTATTACACACATAGAGCTTTAATGGGATTGTCTCACCTGACTGAAAGAGTGACACTCAAAGAAGTCTTGAACGTAACAGGTGCTGACTGTGGATTTGTGAAGACTTGAAGATGTTCTGTCTAGGAAGGCTCCTCATTAGATATGTCGGCCCAGTCGTCAGTGGGGAATGACGGTATGTAGTTCGGCCTGGGAATAGCCAAATATCAGAGTTGGAAGGTAATCTTAAACAAACCAAATTCCTCTAGGCTAGCAAACATACATTGCACACATTCTACTGATGGTGCTATCTTTTTCCTTTTTTAACTGAGTCCTCTAGTATGGTAGAGTCAGTGCAAAGCTAGAGAGGGGAAATATGATTAAATTCATTCAGTAAAAGCTTTCAATACCTAAACATGCTGATGGATAACTCACTCAGAGCCCTTCTGAGAAGCAGGTAAGGCACAAGAGCATCAGGAACTGACCAGCCATCAGGAAGGCTAGATAGGCAAAAAGGTTTATAATATGGTAATGACAAGTGCAATGATTAAGGGGGAAAGTTTTGGGTATTAGCTACAAAAGCAACCCAGGGTGATACCCCATGCCAGGGCAGGAGATAACTGTGGAAGGCTTTTTGAAGGTATAGAGGCTGAACTGGGTTAATACCAGTGAGGCTCTCAAAGCAAAGAGGGAAAGGATGTCCCATGCAGTGACTACTGAAGGTAGTTATAAAGGAAATAGACTGTAAAGGTATAACAGGACAAAGAAATCTGAGTGGTTTAATAATGACTGGGTCTGAGAAGATGACTCTTCTTCTAGGTATCTGTTTAGTCATAGGCAGCCTTAGAATGACACAGTGAAGGAGAGCACTTAGCAGCATGCCGGAGACTGAAACTGCGCAGGTCATCCCTGATGGCAAGGCCCAGGGAAAAACCTGTGGGAAAAGACTGCAAGGCAGTCAGAAGAACCCCCTGAAGAATTCTTCTTCTCTGCTTAGTCTGTGCCTTTTACTGTCACTTCTGCTGTTAGTCAATTCTAGGATTAATATGAAACCAGAATCACCCAAAGTTCCCCCCTTCCTCCAAAATGGAATGTACCTAAATATCAAGTTCCCCCCCCCCCATAAGATGCTGTCTAATGAATACTGTAGCAATTAACAAAATTGGAGACAGTCCGGTCCACATGGGGTCTATAAGAGCCCAAGAATTTATTTTCCTTGTATGGGTCTAATTGCCAGTAAGAACACATATTATGCCATAAGCAGAGACAAAAACAAGACTTACTAGTTTTGGAGGACTTTCTCGGAAAAGTGTTAAAGAAATATTTGCCTACTAACCTCACGCCTGTGAGGCAACTTATGGATTGTTCTGGCCAACGAATAGGATCGGTAAATGCAGAGACCAAATTCTAGTTAATCCACGTAAAACATTTCCATACGTCACCTATGATAAATGTGGACATTGTTCTTTCTTAGTAAGGGGTTGTGAGAGTCTATTACCTATGACCGCGGGTATAAGTGTATCCTGTTTTTGCATGCCCACTGAATTTAAACAATCAAAGGGCACTTTGTTTTCATGCATTCTGGTTACATGCTTCACTTATTTCCTGCCATGTGTAATAAAGAATATGTAGAACTTTGTTATGACTACCTGGCAAATTTTATCAATTTAAGTAGAAATCTTGTACTGTGAAATCACTGTTGATAAGAACATTTAGAAATATTAAATCCCATAACTGTTTTCAAAAAATGTAAATTGTTTAAGCATGATCGTTTGGATTTGCTATAAAAATCCTAACCTGAAAAATAAATTTGAGCTGTCCACCTGAAGAGGCTGGCTCCGTGTCTTCTTCGCCGACTCCAACCCTCACTTTCCGGGTCAACCCTGGCTTGCAGAGGCTGGACCCCTGCAGCAGCATGTAAATACTCCATAAATGATATTTCGTCTGCAAAAATCTCCGTGATGCGTTCAGGGAACAGTAATGATTCCTACACCTTTGGAGTGAAAAGATTTAAATCAGAAAATGATAATCAAGGCAGAAGAATTGAGGGCTAATGGATTCACTGGTGGAAACGGCTAGTTGTTGCAGGCTCTGGTTTTCAGAAGCAGATACAGACACACAGTTAGGGGTGCAAGATGTTTCTAAGGGATTGGAAAGATGAAGGAAACGATGAAGCAGGGTAGGAAAGACAAGTCAAACTGTGAGGCAAGCGCCCAGAAGGGGAGGGAGCTTTTAAGTAAGCACTGCCTTTCAAAGGTATCTGTGTGAGTGGAGACGGTCAGGTCAGGTATTTATACTTCTGCTTCATTCAGTTCTCGAAGGTGGGCAGCCCCAGGAGAGGCATGGCCTCAGACAAAGCAACTTTCAGCTACTGAGACAGACAAACTCCCTGCACTTTGGCAGACACTCGCTCCTTGAAAGGAAACTTGGGAGACAGATCTCCCCATCTATCAAAATAGTGTCCCCTAAAAACATGTCCTCCTTCCCTTCTTGGTGAGTGAAAGATGGTTCTTCTCAGCCCACTTAGAGCCAGGCAGGATACCTGCCTGTAGACAATGGAGACTCCACGTATGAGTCTTTTGTTTCTCTCCACCCATACTATGTTCGTCAAGGGGACTATATGTTCCAGATAGGGCACCCACTGGACAGAGGAGCCTCCGTCCACTAGCATGGTCTAGTGGCTCCATGGATATCATTCAGAAGAGTTCAACCTTAGGTGTAATACATTGAGGAACTGTTACAGGATCTTAAGGAAGATGGTGATCTTTATTAGACCTGCCTTCAGAAAGGTCAAATGGGCTACTATATGCAAGATTTTTGAAAATGGGCAAGGCTGAAGACAGACAACTTATTATCAATTTTTGAGTGAGACAAATAAGATGCCAAGATCAAAGGATTTACGAGAGGGAAGAGGAAAGCTACAGTAAAGGGTTAACTATACAAGTTAATAACAGATTGGATGGAGGGCAGAGTATACAGTCTGGGATGTGAGGCTGATATCATTTACTGTATTTCCATCAGAGAGGCTCTGATAGGATAATAAAAGCAGTTAATATTTACCAAATACTTTCGTCCACCAGTCATTGTGCTAATCATCACTTGGCATGCATTTCTCCATCTTCTCAATAGTCATTAGGCATCCTTTCTATTTTGCTGGCAGAACACGAGCTTTATTTAGAAACTAGGTTTTTTGTTTTTTTTTAATGTATCCTTAGAGGTCCTCCCTATCCCAAGGAGTAAATGTTCATTAGTCTATGCCAATTGTAATAATTCTATTTTCCTTATCAGTGATTTGTCAGATATGGTGCTGTGACAGAAAAACAAGACAAACTCGAAAGCCTAGTGAGAGTCTTCTGGGGTCGTTTTCCTCATAATTAAAAAAGAGGAAAATTTAAAAAAAAGGGGGGGGGACTTGCTCATTCCTGCCTTTCAGCATTGCCAAGTGAGGCCCCTCTGCCGGGAGCTTCTTGTTATGTCCCAAAGGGGCAAGTATAGAGACTCCCAGAGAAAGAGACCAGGAGCCCTCACATCATGGAGCCACTTGAGATAACCAACTTTGATAGACCCCACCTTCTGAGTTCTTGTTATTTGAGGTAGCACACTGTTCTCACTGGTTAAGCCACTTTTAGATTACTTGCCCTTAAAGGATCCTAGCTGATATAAAGGTTTTAGTGTTATTCTCTATGCTTGAAGGAGGTAGGAGAAGGAAGAGACCAAACCCCAAATCTCTCTGAGAGCGGAGATCCTCTGACAGATTTGGTAGTCATCCCCATCAAAGTACTAAAATCTTAAATGCCAGTATTTGGGAAAATAATTGTATCATTTTTTCCCCAAGCCTGACATAGGCTTTCATAATCTCAAGTTTTCTTCTCATTTGTAAAATATCCTTTGTTTCACTGGATTTCAGTCATAGCTACTTCCTTCATTCTTGCTATGACCCTTAAGTATTTCACCAGCTCCACTCACCACATAAGACAGAGTGCCATTAGCTCTGAATGGCTGTCAGTGGCTGTTAAAGAACTATTGAAATTCAACCTTTCATTAGTGACTGGCACATAATTTCGTGACATTTAACAGGGCCCCAGGCTGCTACTGTGGCAGCAGACTTTTCAAGGACTGTATTCTTCAGAACAAAAGACACTATTACCAAATTCCAAGATTCTGTCTTTTATTTCCAGCCTCATTAGTGGCTCAGGTGAAACTATCCTTTTCATCTAAATAAAACTGTTTATGTTTTCTTCAACAAAACAACCTCACACCGTGTAACCTTTAAAAAATGTATTATTTTCATTTTAATTTTATAGTAGTTGCCTCATGAAGGCAAGATATTCCTGAAGAATAGACAAAACTAGAAAAATCACTCAAACAAAAGGAATCAGAGAATTTTAACCAAATCTTAACTTTAACCAAAACTTATTTTGCTAAGTTCATTTTGTTTAGTCCTCTACTGAGTATGAAAGCATAGGGAACACTGACAGCAATACAATCCTTTAGCATGATGCTATCATTTCCCAAAATGAAATATGATATTAAATGCCAATTCCTTCACCTAAGGTATGGATCCCACGTGTTCTCACCTTCGCAGAGTCTCAACACTCCCTCTCCTGCATCAGTAATGTCTCACTTCTTGATGTCCTATTACCACCAGTGTACAAACATGCACTAATACTGTTCTCTGTGAAACAAACCAAATAAAACCTCCCTTGACCTTGACCTGAATCATCTAACAGTGCTCGACTTTTCCCCAGTTAACTGTAAATTTTCTTGACAAACTTAAGAGTCGTGTCATAGGATCTTCTAAAAGCTTTCCAATCAGGCTTCTGTCCCCTCTATTTCAAGAGACAAATCTTGTCAAAGCCTCTACAAAAACGTGTCCAGAGGTCATTGTTCTTTCCTCACCTTAATCACAGTGACCCACTGATGTCAGCATGACTGCCCATCTTTCTTCCTGAAGCTCTCTCATCTCCTGATGTCTTGGACCCCTCATACTTGAAATTAACTGTCTACCTTGTTAGTGGCTGCATCAGTCTCCTTTGCTAGTTCTTTTTCCCCTGCTGAACCAGTCAATGTCCTGGGAGCTCTTATCAGCTCTAAACACGCTCTCTCTCTCTCTCTCTCTCTCTCTCTCTCTAAATGACAGGTTTTCAAGCCTCTGGCTTCAAGGAGAATCTGTCTGTACCTTTAGATCCATCCACATTTGCCCTAGAACT